GAAAAGGGAAAAAAAACAGAAAAATGGTTTGGTTCGAGTGTAAATCTGTGCGTCAAATGAGGTGCATTTGTAAAATCTTTTTACACCCACCCGACAGCCAACTGCTATGCAATACTACTGTCCGATTATCAATTTGTATTTAATGGTGAATGTAGTCTGACGCCATGACCAATATTTATCAATTAAGTTTCAGTGGGAGGTAAGGGGGTTTGGAAAAAAAATAAAGGAATTAAGTTTTTATCCGACATCGATCTTTAGACGTCGTCCCTTACACACCATATATTTGCGATATAAATTAATTCATCACAATACAAATCAGAGAAATTAGAAATTATATGTATATTACTTACGAACAACGGTTGTTTTCGATGAACTTTGACCAGCTTGGGCACAACAGCAAACACAAGCAACTATACAAAGGATAATTAGAACGATGAGTCCAATTATCCCAAAAACTATGCCAAGTATGATACTTATCCTGACGAGATAAAACAAGGTCACATGATAAGTAAGTGGTCATTCTGATTATGTATGTAGGTATATGTATTAGGATCGTATGTCACAAGATGGTGTATGTAGGTACATGTATTAGGGTCGTATATCACAAGATGGTGTATGTAGGTACATGTATCAGGGTCGTATATCACAGCATGGTGTATGTAGGTACATGTATCAGGGTCATATATCACAGCATGGTGTATGTAGGTGCATGTATTAGATGCGTATATCACTGGATGCTATATGTAGGTGCATGTATTAGGGTCGTATATCACTGGATGCTATATGTGGGTACATGTATTAGGGTCGTATATCACAGGAGGGTGTATGTAGGTACATGTATCAGGGTCGTATATCACAGCATGGTGTATGTAGGTACATGTATCAGGGTCATATATCACAGCATGGTGTATGTAGGTACATGTATCAGGGTCGTATATCACAGCATGGTGTATGTAGGTACATGTATTAGGGTCGTATATCACAGGATGGTGTATGTAGGTACATGTATCAGGGTCGTATATCACAGCATGGTGTATGTAGGTACATGTATCAGGGTCATATATCACAGCATGGTGTATGTAGGTACATGTATCAGGGTCATATATCACAGCATGGTGTATGTAGGTACATGTATCAGGGTCGTATATCACAGCATGCTGTATGTAGGTGCATGTATTAGATGCGTATGTCACTGGATGCTATATGTAGGTGCATGTATTAGGGTCGTATGTCACTGGATGCTATATGTAGGTACATGTATCAGGGTCATATATCACAGCATGGTGTATGTAGGTACATGTATCAGGGTCGTATATCACAGCATGGTGTATGTAGGTACATGTATCAGGGTCGTATATCACAGCATGCTGTATGTAGGTGCATGTATTAGATGCGTATGTCACTGGATGCTATATGTGGGTACATGTATTAGGGTCGTATATCACAGGATGGTGTATGTAGGTGCATGTATTTGGGTCGTATACCACAGGATGGTGTATGTAGGTACATGTATTAGGGTCGTATATCACAGCATGGTGTATGTAGGTACATGTATTAGGGTCGTATATCACAGGATGGTGTATGTGAGTACATGTATTAGGGTCGTATAGCACATGATTGTGTATGTGGCTGCATGTATCGGTGGTCGTATATCACTGGATGGTGTATGTAGGTACATGTATTAGGGTCGTATATCACAGGATGGTGTATGTAGGTACATGTATTACGTTCGTATATCACATGATGGTGTGTGTGGGTACATGTATTTGGGTCGTATATCACAAGATGGTGTATGTGAGTGCATGTATTAGGGTCGTATATCACAAGATGGTGTATGTAGGTACATGTATTAGTATCGTATATCACAGAATGGTGTATGTGGGAGTACAACAAATGTCTCAAATGATATAACAAATCATACCCTAGTCCAACTGCATCATCAAAATCACCAGCCCAGTCACTTTCATAGTCAAATGAAAGCCATGTAGAGTAGTCACAACAATATTTATAAGAGCTTGTTCCACAGCAATAGATCTCTGAATATCCATCATTCGATTGTGGGCATGAAAAGCTGTACACATAATCACCGTTTGAATCGTAATAACTGCTACAATCGTCACTGTTCACCCCTATATAAGAAACAAAATGTAAGTGAGAATCGTTTGAAATTTTGTTTTGTTGGTTATAGTCAGTTACTACAATTAATGACCAGAGCACCATATACGAGAACCCTGCTTAACATGTATTAATAAAATAGTGCAAAGAGCGTTCAATTCAATGGTATCACGGTAACTAATATCGGGTGTTGTTTACTGCAGTTGAGAGTGACATATATTAAGTAGAACACACATTGAAGTCTGAAGTGAAATAAGCATATTGTAATCGGACTGCTGGCACAGACTACCGCCCTCTATGATTGCTTTTAGCCAATAACGAAATAAGTAACCGATTTGTTCTTTGAACTAATCATGAACACTTCCAGTAACATTGTTTAAGGACTTCGCAAGGTGTTTAAAAAAATTCTGATAAATGTTCAAGTAATCATTATAAATTTGGCATACAATCAATACTATGATTTTCAGAGCAGTAAATTGCGGAACACGAATGGGTTTTCGATGATAGCAGTGATTATTACCAGACATTATGATCGTCTTTGTTCTGGATCTATATAATAGTCACTTGCTATGGATGATAAATGGACATTGTCATAGCAACAGCAACCCCGCGTGGTCATTTCTCGAATTTCAAAATAGTTATACCTCAATACATTCGCACGGGGTCAATTAATTGCCAACGGGCCTGTAAATGACGTTATCTATTTTGACACCAACCCCGAGCTACGAGTTATGTAAAACAAACCATCTTACCACTGGTATGAGAATAACTACAATCTGCACGTTGCACTATATAAACCGGTCTACACTATGAGCTCTTTTGTTCGGTGTGCCTTGATGAACAATGTCAGTTGTGTTTTGGCAGTTATTATTGCAAATTAAAAAAAATTGAAACAGTTTGCGGATGCTGGTTGGGAATTATAACTCGTATGTCTCTTATATAACATTAATATTTCATTATTCCCCATTCCTAAATTTATCAATATATGACTTAGACTATACAATGTGCTAGAGGAAGCACGTTATTTTTCCTGTACACAGATCTAATGCCACCTATTTAAGTCTGTATTGGAAATACAAAAAAGTCGTATAGGGAAATTCACAAGTCCGTGTTTTCGAATTTTAGTAATGTAATTTAAAAATACGCCTTCCTAACATACACTGTGGAATGCCTTTTCAAGATCAACAAAACAGACATTTGATGTGTTTGGTTTCTTTTGTTTAGATGATACGTGTTATTATGCGCGGCTACCTTTCCTGAAACCAAACTATTCAATCAAAAAAATGTTTTATTACTTAGAACGACTATACCCTGTAATTTTACAGATTGCTTTTTGATTCTGATTTGAATGTAGGGACAATTAAACCCGAACTCCATGTCTCACTAATGTTGTTACTTCAGTATAATATATTGAACAGTGTGTGTATCGCGTTTAATAAATATATCTATGTTTAATACTATCATTATTGTTATGCAGTATGTAACACGTTTTTGTTAATGTTACTAGTAAATAAATCAAAACAAATAAAATTATTATTTTATTTCATACTTTCAATTAATCAAATTTCATTACAAATGATATAATTTCAGTATAATGTTGTATTGCATCTTTAAGTAGTATACATTGACATATTTGTAAACTTTTGCTAAATTAAATCACATAATTTATGCCAAACTGACAAAATCAAATTCCGGCATTCCTAATGTAATTGCTATAAATTGTGGTCAATGTGCAAGTCATATAAGCTATAACGTTAGTTCCACTGACTAGTTATTCCATCTTACTAGTTATTCTTTATGCTTTTTATGGTGTCTTTTAAAGTTGTTCTCTCCGAGAAAAGAGGAAAGGTACAAGAAAGATCAAGAGCCAAGGACGCATACCGGGTTTTGAACACTACTGTGAAAAAGAGTGCTAGAAGGGACAAGAGAGAATATATGGAAAAAATAGCAACAGACGTGGAGAAACAGCAGAAATGGGAGACACCAAGCCAGTGTACAAGACCACCAAGACTCTCAGTGGTGGCTTTGCTAATAAAACAAGAGTAGTGAAAGACAAGAATGGGAAATTGCTGATGACAGAAGAGGAAAAGCTGAACAGATGGACGGAACACAAGTGATATCCATCTGTGGTGAAGCAGAGACGCTGGAAATGGCTGGGGCATGTGCTAAGAATGGGTAGAACCAGACAGCCACACGCTGCATTGAGATGGGCACCACCTGGAAAACAAGAGAGAGGCGGCACCTGGAGAAGGACTGTGGAAGAGGAGTTGAAGGCAGCAGGAAAGACCTAGAATGAAATAGGATGGCTTGCGCAGGACCGTGACGACTGGAGGAGATTTGTCGGCGCCTTATGCTCCACCCGGAGCGAAGAGGAGTAACTATTACTAACTAACTCTCCGACATGCTTTTTAGTTTACATAAATTATTTTCTATTATTTGTTCACTTAGATTCAGCTACTGCTTTAACAATGTTTGATGACATAATCACTATACCAAGCCATATTGTGATGAATCTCAACACATTGTTAGAACTGATAGTATTATCAGTTGATAATGCATCCAATTTTAATTTTATTAAAATACCATAAAATGGTAGTTTTCGTTATTTTACTACTGGTAGTATTATTGGAAACTTGCAGTATGGTCAGACGCCACCATTCTAATTACCACAGCATTTACATGAAAGCATGCGTTTATATTGGAGCAAATCTAAAGGAAAAACTGGAACCCAATTATATATCTAATTGTGCTGGAAGTAGCGAAAACGATGTGCTACAATCAGTTTCTCTCTTTACCATATTAGAAGCGCATCTCAAATATAACACCAAAATAATATTTTCTGTGTTTTTGAATGGCAAAAAACTGACAGTTTATCGAAAAACATGCTGGTGTATTTATAACCTACTATACAAAATGTGTATTTTTGGTGTGAATACACTTATATAATAGAGCGTATACAGTAATCATGTTATTTAGCAGTGTAAATCTTACTAATTATAATGCAAATTGTGGCCTTATTATTGGATATATTTCAATTGGTTCACAAAACAAAATATTGCTCTTTTCTATACCACATTTCTCAGTGCATGGATTTGACAATACTATATTCTGGTATATTATTATGTCTATACCTAATTTCAGCTGAAAAACACATGGCTCCAGAAACTCCAGTACCCCCCCCCCTCAAAAGTGAGTGACTCTAAATTCGCATTTCTTTTAATACAGATGAGTAATAAAATAAGACTATAGTATTATGGTCAGTCATGGACGAGTAAATATAATAATGTTTAATCCTTCGTCACACATTAGAAATTCCCTAAAGTAAAACAGTATTTACAAATGCCAGAAGCCATTTTTGTCATTTATCTTTACAATTGAATTAGTGAAAATACAGTACCACTAGTAATAAATTCAATAGATAAATAACTATTCTGTGTATATTTGAAATTACATCTCATGTACTCCATTCCATGTGTGATATAAG